GAGTTAGGATGGTTTGCAGTTTCAACAGAACCCCACATTACACCAATGCAGTTCTTCCACTTGACTGCATTTTTAACACAGAGATATCCGGAACAATTTAACAGGTTTTTTTAAGGTTTTTTTGGGTTTTTTAGTTGTTGTTGTTTAAAAAAAGTGCAATGGAGACCTTATTTTGTAAGTTGCCTATTAAATTTCTAAATTAGAAACTGAAAGCTGAGTGAACTGTCTGCAAGCATGAAGAACAATTAAGCAGCCCAGTTGAGCTAGCAGTTTTAGTAAAAAAACTGGCTTCTACTCGCTTTCCCATTGGTGTGGGCCTTGGTGGGTTTAAGATGAAACAAGCTGATGGTAAGGCAGTTCCAAAAGAGAGGGGAAAAAAACTGGAATTACCCCTCTGCCAGCGAGGACTAACAAAAGCTGCCTCAATCTGTTGGACGAAACTGAAACCCAAGCAGTATCTGAAATGGATGCTAACAGCAGGGAAGGGAGAGAAACCCAGACCAAGAAAGCATGGAACAGAAAAATTCCTTCAGGAATGAGCAGCAGAGGAGAAAGAAGAGAGCAAATCATCTTTGCACCGAAGAGGGGGATTATTGCTGCTGACGGCCAAACGGGAAAGTGCCGCAGTAAAAGGGAGGCGAGCAACAGGGACTGAAAGCAGCGATCAGACTGCTCACTTTTTATATTTCTAAAGGTTTTTGTATTATATCCACTCAGGCATCAATCACAACTTTATTAAACCACGAAACAGATGTCAGATCAATGGCTGTATCGGAAACATTTTGAATGACAGGCTGATGATGGAACAGTTCCAGCCTCCATCCATTATTAAATACATACTAATGCTGTTTTTTCAATGCTACCCTTACAGACACACTCCCTCTATTCTCCCTCTACGGTACCTTTTTTAATAGCAGACCTAATTGTAGATGAGTATTACACAGGAAAAACAAGACTTACTGTAATAAATAATAATAAACTAGTAAACAAAAGAAACATTTCAAGGTTAAAACTGGTTGTCTGTCTTCATATTATGCCTCCTGGCATTAAAATTCCATTTTAATACAATTGTAGGAGCTGAGGCTGGGTTGTCAGCCTTAATCAGAATATTCAGAGTTATCGCCTTTTTGCTGTAATCTTGACATAATTTAAGCTTAGGTTTTCTTTACATATTTGCCCACAGCCAGCGCACCCGTGTAAATGCTTTCTGCTCTTTTTGAGTGAAGAAGTATGTATGAAAAATAAATATAAATATGGCAGAAATCGCCCCTCTGGCAAATTCTCTGCTTAACTCTAAATTTCAGGCAGATTTGGGGAGGTGATGAGGGCAGCACACTTGCCTCTCAATTCATCAGTAATGTAAACTGTATTTTCCCTGGCAGAAATCAATTTGATTATCATAAAGGCAGAAAGGAATTATGTTCTTGGTGGTTGAAGCACAAAGCACAGTAACTGGGAGATGCAAACGCTGTACGAAATTCTCTCACAACACATGAACGTGGGGTTGAGTTGCCACAAACTGCAGACCATTACCTCCACTCTTCCCCTGGTGCCCTGTACCATCCTTTGGGCTGGAATATTTGCTGCAGCTGTATGTTTTTGTGAGGTGGGCAGTGAGATCAAGTAAAGATGGATTTGCAGCTTTTCACCTGGCCTGGCATCTTGATAGCCTTAGTACATCCTCTTGATTAGAGAAGTAATCAGTATAGCAGAGATGTCTGATTTTATGCAGACAATTCAATAACAGATAAGAAATAAAAATGTTAAAAAGAGATAATAAAATAAAATTAAATATGCATTCTTTGGGGGTTTTGGAAAGAAAGAAAACTTCTTGTTCCTATTCATGGCAAATGGTCTCCTAAACAAAATTCTTTTTGGGGCCAGTAACTGAAGGCTTCCCATAGCACAAGGGGAAGGCAGCTGGCTGGGAGTGGGGCTGTAGGAAAAGTGCTCTGGTTTGGCTGCTGAATTGGATGCTCCCAGCTGGAAGTGAGCAGCCCTGCCAGCATTTAGCCAGAAATGCCCCCCCTGGCCTCGCCACTAAATAATCGATTGCAGGCTGGGATGGAAGCAGCTGGTCCCCGAATTCCCATGGGGTTTAGTGTGTGCTTCAAGGCCGAGAGATCAGAACTCAAATATTTTTGGTGTCAAGGCAGGAATTGGCAGAAGCTGCTCTTACTCAGGTAACCCACCTCACCAAAGGGCTGAAGAGTGAAGGGTGCCCCCTCTGGAACGGCTCTAGCCTGGACAGGGTATTTTAATCCTTTAGAGAACATCAAAAGGCAGAGTAATTCCCACAAGATATAAGGTATGCAAAGGCCTTTATGCTATTTCTTTAGCTTGCTCGCTAAAGAATAGATTTTCTGTTGAAGCAGTATTTTAGAAACCCAGCATTCATCCCGAGTTGGGGCAAGTTTGGAACTGGGTTTGAAGTCAACTCTCACTTAAGTGACCACAGAGGTCTGTTTTGGCTGAAAAATGTTATGCTAATTAGCAAAATGGTTTATCTAAGGAAGTGAATGTATGAAAGCCTTTTAATAAAAACTGCTTTGCATACTGCAAGCTTTTAGATTAAATTGGGACAGAGTTACAGCCGACGCTGAGCAGAATTGTTTGTGACATTTTGGCTTGTTTGCTTAAAAAAATCTGCCTGCTTTCTTGAAAGATAGCTGGTGGCTCTTTACGGCACCCTGTTGCACAGTTTTAAGGATAAAATTAAAAAATATGCTCATAACAGAAATGTATAGCTTATGTCATATCTCCCATAAAACTTAGTCCTGATGAGGTACTCATAGGAGCATGTTTTGGACTTGGCTCATCATGACTTTATGCTCTCAATGACCCTCTCTCTGGGCTGAAATTCAGGCTTCAGAATAATTCAGTAAAAATACGTCTAAATAAATCATATCTCTAAATAGGTTATCCGTTTTCCCCACATTTTTTTCTGTAACAGAACATGCTAGGAAGATTCAATTTCAAGTGATGATGGAACCATCCAATAAAACTGCTACTGGCAGCCCAAATCCTAAAGTTCTCCCTTTAATTCCTGACGGGAGGAATTCCTGATGACCTCCATTATTATCCTGCTTGCATGAGGACTTTAACTGAATATGGTGCTGACGGTGTTTTTACCAAACAGAAATCCAGTATGCGATAAAATGGAGTGTCATTTGAGATTTATGAAAAGTCTATGGATATTGTAACACCCATCAATCATTTACTCCTTCTTGCTCTTTAAGTGTCCCGTAAATGAGTTAGGAGTCTTAAAGATAGTAAACATAAACCTTTATGGTATACCTCTGAATGTATTTCAAGAAGTTATCAGGGAATTATGTGTCCTTGAAAGATAAGACTGTGTAAAGGGCTAGGAAAAGGAAGGCAAGATTTTCTCGACTTTCAGTTGCAATAAAATAAATTCAGGATCTTACTGTCACCCATTAGCTGGGAATTTTCTAGTTCGCATTAAGATTGTGAGAAAATGAGTGCAGAAGACAATATCTGTAAGAGTCATAGAAATTAAAATGACAGACAGAAGGAAAAATTCATAGGAGCTGCCCAGCAGCACAACCAGAATTCATTTTCCATTTCCTTGTCTTAATTTTTAAACACACCTTTGAATCACAGTAATTATGCACAAAGAAATTCTCACTAGTCCTAGTATTTCCTTCAGTTTCATCTCTTTAGAGGGGAAAAATGCTGTTATTAACTTTGAGATATAATTCCTGCTCCTTTTGACTGTCGAATGAAACATTTAAAATAACAGGAATAAACAATGAACCATCATATTCAAGTTTCCTCAGAAATAAATACAAAAGCTTCAGATCTCAAGAGAGTTGTTTTTTTTTTTTTTTTTTTAAAGGGGGAAAAGACACTAGAGTTAGAATTAAATTCAACAGTTAAGAAAAAAGGAGAGGAAGAGAAGAGGAAGGGAAGATCCAAGTAAGTTAAATAACTTTATAAGGATGCAGCTTTATTCAGTACCTTATTCAATTAATAAAAACCCAAAACAAACCCCCAAATTGGAAACCTGCTCCCATAGATTAGTAACAAGTAGTGCAGTGGTGAAATAGAAAAAAAAAATTGTAAGGACTTAATAGATCTTTCCTGTAATTATTTTGTAAAGCAGGTGTGTGCTAAAGATATATAAGTGTAATGTTTATGCCTGCATTTTTGTAAAAATAGACATGTACATGCAGTGTGCACACATTCACATATTAAACCACCATACATTGTGTGTAGGCTGCTGTATTTTAGGAACATTTCAGATAGTTTTAATAATATTTATTAACAGCTCTTTTTGCCTTTCTCTGACTCTGGGAGAGTTAATTGAGTCTGACTCACAGAGCTTAAATAGAAAATAATTGTTGAAATACCCATGTTTAAATATAATATATTGGAAACCCAGCTGACCTTGACCCCAAATCACATTTCTGAGCCTGGAGCAAACTATGTATGGCTGAGTGCTATGGGTTAGAAGTGAGTATGGGGTCCTACCACAAAGCTAGAACTCCCATTTTCCAGTGGCATAAAACTTTCTAGATTGAAAAGCAAATAATCTCTGACTAAAAACCAAATTGATAGAGGAGTACTTCCATATTCACCTGAGAATTAGTACAGATTATTCCTGCTAAGTACAGAGCAGGTTTTGTTGACCTGCTGTTTTACTACTTGTACTTCTTTGTCAGTTCTGTTCTATAAGACCTAATGCTGACTGCATGAAGGTTTTAGTAACATATCTGTAGATACATGTTTGCGTGACATAGCAATAGGAGGATATTGTTTGTGTAGTACATCATGTTTGGGCCATGATGTACTATGTTTGCCCGGACAGGGCCAGACATCTCTGGACATGGAGAAAAAACAAACTAAACCACGGCAATATTGAGCTGCAAAAAGGTGAAGCACTGAAAAACCCAAGAGTAATAAAAGACCTTGAGAAACTCAGTAAGCAATAAATGTTTTGCTATATAGAAAGTAAACAGTATAACCTATGATCTTACCGTTCCTGTTGTGCCCAAGGAAAGGTGGTTCATCTGTTGGGTCAGAGGGCCCATCATGCTCGCTGGCTGCATTGACATAGTGTGGTCCATTGTTGGTGTTATCACAGCACCCTACAAACATACATAATTTACACTTCAACATTTCACTTATTAAAAAAAAAAAAAAAGCGCAGCATTCTCTAAATGAGTGAACCTGGTTGAAAACTTGACATGAATCTTAAAAGAGACTAATACATCTGTCAGAGGAAATATATTTTGTTCCTATTGACAACCAAGCTACACACATATATTATTTGTACTACTAATGAGGCCATTTTATGTCAGTTCCAATTAAGTGTCATTTTTTACTTCATTGCTTCTGACAAACAAATGCATATGTTCTTTCTATGATGAATGCTACTGTACATTGCAAAATACCTGTCATTTCTATTTTCCCATATCCTATATAGAATAATCTTACAGACAGAACACATATGTCCCCAATTTTCTCTGACTTCTAAAAGCTTCAGTCTCTCAGCTATGGTAATTATCTTGGATTTTTCCAGTCTCAATTAAGAACCCTTATTCATGAAATTTTATAGCTGATTAAGTAAGACTAGCTATTGACAGTGAATTTGGTAGTGACACCCATTTAAAACACATACACAGCATTTAAAAGCATTTTTCTTCTCCGCCAGAAAACCAAAGACATTAATAACAAACAGTATACGAACTAAAGCAAGAACAAGACTTTGAACAAAAATGAAACAAAAGATGTGTCAGAGGAGCTTTGGAGAAAGCTTCTTTGCCATTCATATTCCTTGTTTTTTTGCTCTCCCACTCCCCAAGGTCCCATGTCGGTAACCTCATGCCTCAGTGAAGAGCTGATTCTCTTCAGTTCTATGGTGTAAAATGCTACCTCCTGTGTTGGTTAGAGAGAGTCAGCAACAGAGCCGTCTGCTCTTTCTCTTGCAGACAGTTAAATGAGGAGGTATTTCCAGCTACTTCTTCATACAAAATAATGGCTCTACTTTGTGCGTACGTATGTTCGTGTGCGCACATAGTAAATTTGCACAATCGCATTACATCTGCTACAAAGTGTGGAAAATGGGGATGAATGTATTTGTTTAAAAAAAAGGAAAACTGGTATTTTTTCCAACGGGATTACTGACAAAATCCACCTATAAACAGGAATTTAAAATAAACTAGTACCAAATTCCACAGCACACCGGTTCTTAAGTGTCTGTCTCACATTTAGGTAGAGCTATATGACTGCATTGTCAAGAGACTGATTAGAAGCAAAAGGTTTCAAATCTGCAGTCACAAATAAAAATAAACAAAAGTAAAAAATGCAGAGAAGTACCCGCTCAATTTTTTCTCACCTTCTAGCAATATTTTGTCTATGCACATCCTATCTGAGATGCTGCGATTCCGCAATCTCTGTGAACTCATTACTTGCATGCAATGATAAAGAGTAGGTAGGTGCAGCTTGGTCAGTTCTTTTTGTAATACCCTCAGCATATGAAATACATACACACTTGTTTTATGTCTCATAGTGGATTACGTTTCTTGCACTGACGAGGGTCCCTAGAGAAATTTGGCAAATTACAGAAACTAGCCTCCACAGAGTATCTGTCATGATTCCAAATAAATGCTTATAAAACAAGCTGATCAGTGTGCAAGTATCAAACCTGCCACACTTGCAAACACTTTTGCCTCTTTCTTGGCTATATTAATTTGCACTGGTTTACATAGATTAACCCATTGATTAACTCATTCTAATGAACTACCACAGTGCTAACCTTCTCTGTGTTGGCACGGGTCCTTACAAATCAAGATAGTCACAAATCTTCACCGCAAAATTTCTTTCCAATTTCTTTCAGCACAGTAGAGGTAATATTTTATTCAAAAAATCCTTCTTTCTTCCTTACATGACATTCTGATCTTTCATGCTGCTCGTCTCTTTTTGCTGAAAAAATTCTACCCTTTTGCTGAAAGAGTTTGAAAGCAAATCTGCGGGGTGTACACTCATTCAGCCCATCCGGCAGTCCCTGCACAGTAGATTCAGTGCAAGAGTCTGAAGTAGCACCATGGGCAAGGAAAATTAAGTTCTTGCTGCTACGTTCAAAATCAGTGGCCTGGGATACCAGGGCTGCTCCTGTAGAGCAGCACGCAGCTAGACGAGGTCCTGGGGTTTGGACATCCACGTGTGCTTTTTGGTTATGGTAAGAAATTGTAAGCTTTATGCTCAGAATGATCCACACTGCAAACCAGCATTTTTACTGTACCAAACCATAAATGCTCAAACCAAATTCGTCAACTGATAAACAGCTCTCGGTTCCCTCTACGAGCAGTTTTGTACTTTGGCTTCGAGATGGACAATTGCCTCAGGACTCTCCGTGACAGACAAGGTGAGTTCCCACTTGCAATGTGTGATGGGGTAAGCAGAAAGTCACACACCGACCCCCATAGGTTCATGCAGCCCCACACAGCCGGCAGTAGTGGCTGCAATTAATTTAGGATGTCCCAAAGCCTTAAACTACCTATTTTTCTTTGCAAAGATCTTTATTGCAAAGGTATGGTTGGAGGAACTTGCTGTGATTACAGATGTGACAGACTGATAGCTATTCCTGTGTATAAATTCAGGAACCTGGAAATGAAGAAAGGGCAGCGGTGAAGGAAGTCTTATGATTTAGTGTAGCAAACACAAGTGCCAGACACACAGTGGAAAAATCTGATAGCAAATGTCTTCCAGTAAATAAGTAAGCAAGGCAAGTTTTGCAAATAAACTATTTAAAAAAATATGGACTGGAGAGACAATATATCAAGGACAAAAAAATTGCTCAGAGACAGTAAACGTATTATTTTTAAATAGAAAATACGTATATTCTAGACCCTAAACATACACCGTTTAATATGTTAGGAAAAGAAGTTGGGAAAACAAATCAAATATTTGCAGCTTTCCTAAGACAGTTTAACGTCTTTGAAGCTGACAGTTACCTAGAGCAGAGAATTACGTGCATTTGCCAGACCATTAATTCACTAGAGTTTGCAGAATCCTCTTGTGATCACGTAGGGAAAAAATTATACTTAATTAAGGAAATATCATCTGGTTGTTAGGGCGACACCCAGCCTCCAGACCATAATGCGTTTCATAAAACATGCTGTCAAGTCCATTCATATTCAATTTATTTAGCTGTAGAAGACAACAATGTCTTGCATCAGATGTTGCCATCATATTAAAAGTAATTTGATTCTTTTCAGGCTATAATAGGTATTTGCTGATAAACATCCACTTGGCGACTGGCAAAGACAACATATTTTTCATCTTCATCTGTTCGGATGTCTGATTTTACCGAGTTCATAAACTGTATAGAGAGCCATCTTAGCATGGCATAATACTACTGAAGGCCCAGCTTAGTTGAAAAAACCTGTAGAAGAAATCATGATGAGGTTTTTGCCACTGTCTTTGCCAAAACAAGTAGTTGGCCTGCCAATTATTTAGGTCTGCCCTGTTGCCTCAGTATGATTAATTTTTTTATGATTCCTCCAAGAAACTGGTTGCTATAATGACTTTTAAATTTGGCAAGATGTTCTTGCCATAGACTTGTCATACAATTCTGTCGATGCTATAGTGGCTTTAAAAGAAATGAAGATTAACAGGGCAAATAATAAGGAATCAACGATACAGAAGAATATCCACGATTTTTGCAACACTGCAATAAACCCAAGTCCATTGACATACAGACTTTAATTCCTCTTTGCTTTATTTGAAAGACCTTGCCATTTTAAAATGCTCTAAGCCCTATGGACATACTTTTCATATAAGAAAGTGAATATATTTACTTCAGAACATTTTCTAGTCCATCACTTGCAAAGAAAGAAGCCTGACTTTATCAACCACAAATGCTGAACATTCCTTGTATGGCAACAAACTGAAATCTCAGGAAGGACTCTAAATACAGCTTGTTATTATATTAAATACACAATCTTTAAGTACTTGCCAATACCAAAAGGCTTCAACAGAAATAAAGTTTATGTTGGTGCAATGACACATGCCACCTTATGTGCCTTGAAGGGTGGGAAAGTGACATCAGAAATAAAAAGTGTATTAGGGGGCTTTAGGAACAGAGGGTTCACTAGTTGAGAGATGCACTAGGGGGCCAGTGGGAGGAAGGATTAGTTAGTCCCAGCTTTCTAGAATAATGAACTGTATTAAAGGCTTCTGTTTTTTTTCCAGTGTTCTAATAGTGATATTGGGATAAGGCACAAATACCAGCTGAATAAATAGTTTTTAAAGCTTACAGTAAACACCTGCTTATTTTGGAGTTTACTTTTTCTTTATTTACAAAGTTTTAACAAGTTAAGCATACTTACAAATTCTACTTTGTAAATACTGGCCAATGTAAAGCCAATAAACATTACAGCAGCAAACTGACTTTTCAAATTTGTTTACAGACACATTGTGCAGTCATGTAAGCACCCGGTCATTCCATCTGAAAAGTTATTACCATAGTTCCAAGTGAATGTCTTTATGTTATTGAGAACATGTTGTTTCTTGAGATTTTATTAAACTGAGTGAAAGGATGACTTTCCTTATACTTATCAGACCAGACGTGTCTATCAAGAATTAATATGAAAAAACCTAACATGTATACTTTTTTTTCAGATAAATGCACTCTCTCTGCATACTGAATAAATGACGACCATATTTCTATCAGTTTACTGTTCTGTCTAGATTGACTTGTCTCATCTCCTTGGGCTGCCTCTGAGAGGCAGCGGAAAAAATAGGGTCCCCTTGTCAGAGCAGAGAGCCTGCTCAAGTGCTCTGAACTGGCTGTGAAGTGGCCAACCTTTCGTGACTACAGTAGGAAGACGAAAGGTAGCTGTGAAATCCTCTCTGCCCTCTGTCAGCAACTCTGCTTGGGGATACTTGTTGATATTCCATAAAAACCCATTATATTTCAAAATCAAAGAAAAGCTATTCTCCCTTTCTCAATGAAAAGTTACTAACTGCCTTGGCATTTGCTAGCTGATCAGAGATTAAAATATGGTCTGAGTATGTTGAGGAAAATCAGCAAACATCAGCTAATGCATATTCTACAAATCTTAGGATTTGGTTTCATTTCATT